TAAAAACCACTGGTTTATTTATTTGATAAAAAAACATTTGACCTTGTTAACGATATTTTGATTTCAAAATTAAATGCAGCACATAAGAGGAGTTGCTCTTAAGTGGTTTAATAGCTTTTTAACAGACAGAATACAGCAAACAAAAATCTTAAATCAAATGAGCTCACCCCTAAGTGTTAAAGCAGGTATACCACAAGTTCAGTAACCTTAGCAACCCTATTCCTAATTTTTTATGAATGACATCCTTAGTGCTGCCTATGGACGGATTAGTGCTTTTGCTGGTGACGTTGCATTTTTTTACAGCAACAAAAACCCCAATTTACTATACAACGATAATATCAGCTATATTTTAGTTGATGTTCTGAAATTGTTAAATTCGTGGTGTAATGCAAATAAAATGCGGATAAATATGGATAAGACAAAATCTTTAGTTAAGTTTATTTTTAGATGACAATACTACATTACAGGCATAGAGCCCAATTATAATAAATTATTATTATAATTATAATAAATACTTGTGATTTTCAACTTGGCTTAAAATATCACACTTTTGATTGCAATGTGAATATTATATACAGTTGTAAAGTTATAGAGAAGACTAATAACTTTCGATATCTTGGGGTAATTATAGATGCAAATTTAAATTGGGAAAAACATGTTATTGCTTTACACACAAAGATCAGGTCTGCCAACAAAACGTTTTATTTTTAAGGGATTTTCTCAAACAATTTTTATTAAGAACACATTTTCCTCTTGTCCATTCAAGACTACAATACGGTATACACTGCTGGGGAGGTACATATAAATTTCTTATTGATAAACCAAGAATCACAAAGAATTATTTTATCAGGCTAATTGCAAACTGTCATTAAGAGAGATGGCTCCTTTCCATTATTTGTACATTTAAAAATACTTCCAATTCAACACCTGTTCGCCTTTTTTTCGAAGTGGGAATATTGGAACAAACAATCTTTTATACATAACAAGAAGCAGCAGTCAAAGATTATTTAGATTAACCAAAGTAAACAAATCAATATTTAGACAATCTTATCAGTACAGTGGGCCTTGCTTGAGCAAGAAATCTACATTCTTCAAGAACCTGACAACCATAAGGTAAACCAATTTATCAGAAGACAATAACGAAGCTTATAAACAATAGCAAAATTCTTTTCAGCGAGGAGGAAGTAAAACGCCTTCATGTAATGAACCCCAATGCACCAATGCTACGAGGGTTGCCTAAAGTACATTTTACATTACATTACATTTACATTTATTGTTGTCATGAGAGCCGAAGCCCCCTGACTGCATACCCGGTACCTATCCTTTAGGACATACCCGGGCCCCATGATGTAGGCCGAAGCTTACGCATCAACCTTTAGCACATCATGGGCGGATAAGGTCATCAGGCTCGCCGGCTGCCGAAGCAGACCCTTCGGAAAGAGGGTTGCCCCTCAATCCTAACCAGGGATTCCGGCTGCTTGTTTAAGCGTCACTCCACCTGGGTTCCACTAGGTCGGGACCTAGAGGTCCATGGTAGAGCGCCCCGACGCATTTAGTGCAAGCAACACTCGGGACCTATCTAATCCCTGACAGGCAGAACCCGCCATCAATAGCCAGGAGGAAGGGGACCATCAGCACGCTGACGGGGGGAACCCCAACCTCCCATTTACACCGCTGCCCGATCGAGGCCTTACCCATTGCTGGGAAACCAGAGATAACCAGAGCGATAGATCCCCAGATACCCCTGGCGGGCTCGGACCCAGCACCCGATCTACTTCGTTTGCCCGTCAGACCCAACATCACTGCCAGGCCATCAGGGTTTCCCAAAAGGAGGCAGGTATAGAAGTGGGACCCACCCGGATGAACCTATCCACCAGAGGTGGCGACACCCTTGACTCAATTGAGGTTCCGGGAAGAACCCCCCACACTCAAGATAACCTAAAGTACATAGGGAGGCACCCCAATAAGACCACTGGTCGATTACACGTCAGCCCCGACAAACAAACTTGCTCAGAAACTTGAATATATATTAAGCCAACAAATAGTTCTACATAATAGTTAAGTTACCGCCTAATCAACACCTATGATTTTATTAACAAAGCCAAAAATGCACAGGTAAACCCTCATGATTTACTAGTTTCGTTTGACATTGTCAATCTCTTTACTAATGTTCCTGTTGACCAAACTCTAGACATAGTCAAAGACCACCTGAACAAAGATTCGAATTTACTACCTGAAGCAATTGCTGAACTACTATGTTAAAAGACGTACTCAAACAAAATTATTTCAAATTCAATGATAAATATTACAGTCAACCAAATGGCCTAGCCTACTCTCCTTTGTCAAGGTTACTCCTCAACGTTTATCTTGAACCATATTGAAAATAAATATATATTTTCAAACCTAAAAAAAAACAAAAAAAAACAAGATAATGGAATATCACCGATATGTTGATGATACCATTCTTATTTTCAAGGGTAACACAAGACACCTCGACCTTCTACAGAAGTTCCTCAACAATATAACGCCTAATTTGAAATTTACTATGGAAACTGAACAATCAAAATAAATTTCCTGGATACTACAATAGAAAATATAGATAACAGATTAGATTTTAGCACGTATAGAAAGCTTACTACGTAAACCAAAAACAAACCATTCACGGCACGTCTTACCATGGGTTGCTAAATAACCATGTTGGTTGAATTAAATAACGAGGAAAAAGTAAAGTAAAGTAAAGTAGGACTTGTAAGTTGTAACATGTGTTCATAATAAGCCATCTACCCACAGTATGATAGCAAATTACAAAATACAGTACAAAAGGAAAAGCATCAGTTGTTACTATTGAGCAAAGATTATACTGAAGATTACTCGATATTGTAGTAAAGGTTAACATTGCGATGTGTGGAAAGCGTCTGCGGCAGTTAAATTATAATGTAGTTAATTATAATGTATCTGCAATACTTAAATGCTATGAGAAGGGAGAGGAACAGGTCCGCGACGTCGGAAGTGGTGGCGGAAGTAGTAAAGGCAGGCAGTGCAGATTTTGGGAACCGTTTGTAGCTGTTAGATTATACTATCTGCAATACTTAAATGCTATGAGAACGGAAGGAGACAGGTCCACGCGTAGGAAATGTTGAAGGAAGTAATAAAGGCTAGCAGTGCGGTGTGTGGGAACCGTTTATGACGATTAGATTAAGGTATCTGCAATCCTAAAATGCTACGGGAAGGGAGGGAAACAGGTCTATGACGTAGGAAGTGGTGAAGGAAGTGGTAAATGCGAGCAGTGTAAGTGTAGAGTGTGGGAATGGATTAATGTATCTGCAATACTAAGCCTGCTTTCAGAGTAAACGAATGATTTTGCCTGAGCAAAGCTCGGTCCCCAGGTGCTATAAAAAATGCGCTAGTTGCCCGAGTACATACATTGGAAAAACAGGACGATCCTTTAGCATTAGATACAAAGAACATCGCCCTAACGGAAAAAATGACAAACAAAATCCACGTTCGCAGAACACCTGTTTGATAACAATCACGACTTACTTGATTTGGACAACGGCTTAGAAATTCTACACACCTGTATTAATGGATATAGATTAGACACCCTTGAAGAATATGAGATTTATAAAGCTCGTAAAATAAAATTAAACAATGAGTCCATACTGAATGATCAATTACAATTTAAATCCCACACTATTTTCAATAACATTATCAAACGTAGCAAGCCACAGACAAGGGATCAAAGTTCAGCGGGTAACTTATATGGGATCATGACTATATAATTGGATCAATTATCATAAGGGATCATTGATTATTAAATTAAAAACAATTACGAGTCAGTTAACATTTCATATTTATCAAGCCTAAAAATTATTACTAGACGACTTATATCACCAGTAATAATTTTAATAATTGTAATATAAACTACAGCCCATTCCACGAGTCGTGGGACCTGACGGATTAGGCATGGTTGCCGCGGGAAAAATCGGGACACTGCCCCCCCCCCTCCCCCGAATTAATATACGGGCATAAGAAACCGAAATCGGGACTGTCCCAGTAGAATCGGGACGGGTGGCAACCAGCCCAGTGGGGGTCCCCAGTGGCAACCCACTGATGAGACCACTGTGGGGGTCTCCTAATTCGTGAGGTGCCGCAACTCGTGGAATGGACTGTAAAATTGTCAACATGACACTGCCACTGATGGGACGAATTGGTGTTACTAATTGGACAATATTTAGACTTGGGGTGATTGAATAGGGTCTGACAAGCATTTAGAGGTGGGGTTCTCGACGGGTGGGGACCTCCCTGAGAGCGGCACGCGACTGCAGCGCACCTGTCACCGGCGTACTGAAAATGCAACGACGTTTGATGGTCACAATCCATACTGAAATTGCCACAGGTAGCTGAAATTGACAATATTAGCATGGATTATGATCATAAAATCTCATGGCGATTTCGGTGTTGTTCAGTAAATCACGAGAGTGCAGACTGTAAAATTAGGTCAGATACTAAGATAAACTACTCAAAGAATCCTAGTTCTAGTTTGTAAATTCAAATAAATACAACTAAACAAAACAGATACAACAGTGAAGTTGTACAGTGGTGAAATGATGCGGTGGTGAAGTGGTAAATCGTGAAGTAAGAACGTGGTAAAGTGATGTAGCGGCGAAGAAGTACAGTGGTAAAGCGTTGTAGGGGGAAGTGATGTCACGGTGAAGTAAGGACGTGGTGAAGTGATGTAGTGTTGAAGTGATGTAGCGGTGAAGTGATGTAGCGGTGAAGTGATGTAGCGATGAAGTGGTGAAGTCATGTAGTGATGACGTCATGTAGTGGGCAAGTGATGTAGTTGTGAAGTGATGTCACGGTGAAGTGATGTAGTGGTGAAGTCATGTAGTGATGAAGTCATGTAGTGGTCAAGTGATGTAGCGGTGAAGTGATGAAGTGTTGAAGTCATGTAGTGATGACGTCATGTAGTGGGCAAGTGATGTAGTTGTGAAGTGATGTCACGGTGAAGTAAGGACGTGGTGAAGTGATGTAGTGGTGAAGTGATGTAGTGGTGAAGTGATGTAGTGGTGAAGTGATGTAGTGGTGAAGTGATTTAGTGGTGAAGTCATGTAGTGGTCAAGTGATGTAGCGGTGAAGTGATGAAGTGTTGAAGTGATGTAGCGGTGACGTGATGTAGCGGTGAAGTGATGTAGCGGTGAAGTGATGTAGCGGTGAAGTGATGAAGTGGTGAAGCTATGTAGTGGTGAAGTGATGTAGTGGTGAAGAAGTACCCTACAGTGGTAAAGTGATATAGCGATGAAGTGATAAAGTGATCCATTGGTGAAGCGATGTAGTCGTGAAGAGATACAGTGGTGAAGTACTGCTGTGGTGAGGTGTTGCAATGGTGAACAGTGCAGTGGTGAAGTGATGAAGTGGTGAAGTTTTGTAGTGGCGAAGAGATACAGTGAACACTCAATAATCCACAAACCTAGAGAAGTTTCAACGTTTGAGTTCACTGGACAAAATATTACAATTTAAAATATTTGCCAGTGGTAACTTAATCATGTTTTCAGATGAGTTTGATAATACGGACGGATGTCTATTGTCTGTAATCTTCCTCTTGGTTTGATATTCATTTATTTTCTAGGAAGACCAGACTAGTAAAATAAAATCGCGTCTTTTTTATCGGCCGTAAACATTTTTACCAGCAAATGTTTTTTTTTTTATTATTATTATTTTTATCGTGGTCTTTGCTATTATTCTAGTTTTATCGGTTACGCAGGTGTTCTAGATTTCCAGGAATCAGCAAGCAATACGGATACCCCCACTTTTATTCTTCAGTTTCAGTTTCAGTCACTTCACTTCAGTTCAGTTTAAATTTCGTCGCGAGTGAGGTTACTTTGTATGTACGTCTGTGTTGACTTAACCTATTTTTTTGTGCCAGTTTTTGTTTTTCAGTGCTTCTAAACTGCCCAGTGCTTCATGTATTTCACATTTATAAGATGTTTTGAGAAGTGCACGCGTGTGTTCGGGAAACTTGCGTTATTATTTTACATAAATTAAAAGTGAATTTTTATCATCTATGGTCGAGGCCTGGATTTCATTGTGAAGTTTTGCAATTTTGTGTTAAGTGGGCTTAGATTGTGTATTGTATTGATAAATTATCGGTGAAATTGGCTATGGTAAATGTTGTGCAATGTGATAAAACATTGTGTGCAGTGTCCAGAGGATTTACAACTGGCATTGAACAGCCTAGCCAGGAGCTAAGGTACGGTGATATTATACTTTGATAGTTTTGCCTTTACTTTAAGACTATCGGTTTGATATAGATATTTAATGTAGGACATATTTAGGTTAATTCAGTAAGTTAACTTTTTCAGACAACTTTAGTCGCTTTATTGTGAACAATACGAAACTTGATGGCTTGGGCAGGCCCATTCCCATTAATACTTAGAACTTATTTAAAATTATAATTGTCATGTTATTCTGCTGTTCTTATGATAGTATATTTCATTACTAGGGCGTAAATTGAATCTTTTCGACCCGAGCTCAAGTTTTACGATCGAGGTGAAGTCGAGGTTGGAAAATGAGTGAAGGTTGGATTTTTTGCACGTGTGGTGAACTATATTTTCCGTCATATGCACCATTATTTGAAAAAAAAGAAAATAACTACCTGTATAAAACTATACATGATTTTACATAACTCGTTTCAATTTAATTGTCTAAAATAGGTAAATAAGCAGCTGTTTGGTTAATTATTTAATCGTTTCGTGTAGCCTATTACGAACGTGTTAGTGTACATTATACTGTACTATCAATATTTTGAACCTTTTACAATAAGGCAACAATAAGCTACAATTGATTAAACAATCGATACATACTTTCGATTAATGCGATTGTTTACAATCGAAATTTACGTGCTGACAACGGCTGAATTTTACTCAATTAAGTGTAAAAAAGCTACCTACTTTCTTTAGACGAGCAACGCAAGAAATTAAAAACTGCTGTTTTTGCTGCTGTATGACAAAAAATAAATGTTTAAACTGTTTTTCAGGTTAACACAAATTAATTATGTCCAAAATACTTATGGATAAAGAAAATATTAGTAATTTAGTTATCATTTTTGCTGAACTATTGTCATCTTAAACATGATGAAGTGTTCAAATAAATAATTATAAGCTCAAAATAAATCCAGATCCAGTTTACTAATTATTTTGAAGATATTCAACTTATAGCATACTGGTGCATCTTTTCTTTTATTCTATGCATTAAACATTAACACTAATATAATAGGGAATACATATTCCATGTTTGAGGAAATATTTTAGTATAACTTACATCCAAAGAGTCAATTAGAAATTCTCTTTACTCTGCATGTTTGTTGTAACTGAGGTAGCCTATTATTTTTATACCGTACAGTACAGTATACTATAGTGGCACACTTTTAGCGAATTTCCCATATAGGGAGTAAGCTATTACCGTAGGTCTCGTGGTAAGACCTAGACCCGGGACCGATTTACTTTTTCGTTTTGAGGTCCCCAGAGGCCAAAAACACCATCCGTTCAAATTCATATATATATATATTTATATATGTGTCCGTTAGCGCGATAACTCTAGCAAAATTGATCCGATTTTGATGTAATTTGGTACAAACGTGTAAACCTACATTTATTCGAACGAGTTCGCGAACCAGCATAATCGGACCATGGGATCAGGGGATTATGGGGGGTTTTATGGGGTAAAAATGGGGTTTTCTCATTTTTGACCCTAAAAACTTTAAATTTCTAAATTTCTCTCTAGACCATTTTGAAGAGCTTAAAAAACAAATAATTTAGTATATTGAAGTGTTTTTGAATGTTCATTGAATACGAAAAAAATTTAAAAAATTGTAAATTTAAAATTACCATGTTATTCTTATGGAGAATAAATAAACTGTTCTAGTTTACTTGTTTATGGATATATTTTAATCAATTTTGGCAATTTTGTTTATTTCATACTAAGCTATCAATATTTCATTTGAAAAACACACCTCAACATCTTCCCCGTAGCAGCAAACCTAACCACTCACTAAAATTAATATTATTTAAATAGGAAATAAATCTGAAAATTTATAGGGAATATTTTAGTAGAAATCAAGCCGGGTAAATGGAAATTCGCTTAGTATGCAGGTTTGCTGCGACGGGGGTATTTATTTATGTGGCCTTCTTGCGGTTTCGCTATAGTGTTCAGTTCAGTGTTGAGCTCCCTTATACGAGATGACGTCACTGCAGTCCCGGTCGCGGCTGTCTCGCCGCTAGATACAGTGATACAGTCAATGACTATATTATAGAGCTATATTTATAGTCGATGATACAGTACAAGCAAGACACTCAAACTTAACTTATTCATACACTTTAAGCGGATATGGAGGTGGTATATCATGTTATGACTTGAATTTCTCTGTCTACAAAATAATGATTTTTACTAAATCATTCCGTATATTAGCAGATATCGAACAGTTTGTGCGAGTGATTCAATAAATCCAATTACATTCAGTAATCAAATCAAATCAAATCTTTATTGCCAGAACATTTTACAATGCATAGCAGTGTCAACTAGTTATATAATCAATATAACTATAAAACAGTCCACAGATAGTAGAACTAAAGTTGGTTGAATTAGTTGATTTTAAAGTAGAATTAGAAAAATATTTTATACATTTATATTTCTATATATATATTTTAGACTTTATTATTTAAGGGTTTAAAGGAGTTTATTTTATATGAGTGCGTGTTTGTTTCGTGTGTTTATAATGGTTAACTTTCTGAAAACCAATTACTAAAATTTTTCAAAGAAACAGAAATCCAACTTTGAGAGACAAAAATCATTTCCTAACTAACATTTCGAAAAAGCCCGGGAAAATGTATAGAACAGTCGTGTTTTATGGTGAAATAGTGTGGCTGCATGGTAATTTAACCACGCCAGCTGCTTTTAAGCAAACTAGGACAGAAGAAGAAGAAGAATCCACCCGCTCAATCTCATTGTTCCTTGTTCCGTTAGTCCTTTAGTGTTGTTCTTGTTCTTGTTCTCGTCACGTGTTGATGAAATTGAAGTGTGCGACTCGTTTTCGTTTACTATTCGTGTAATATTCTGGTTTATGTGTCTATTATTTTGTGGCTGTGATTTAAGTGAGGTGTGATTTTAGTGATTGTGTCTAGTGATAGGATATGAAGTCTAAGCGAGGCAAATGATGGTGCAATATTTGGACAAAGGTAAATGGGTTTGACCCAATTCTGTACTTATAAGCTTAATAGGGAATTTAATATATTTTTAGCTTTCGTAACTTGCACATTTTTTAGCTACGCCCAATGCATTTTATTAAATTCCCGTAATCAAAATTAATGATCACTTGAAGAAAATGGAGCAAAGTTAAAATAAGGATGGTACAATATTTGGAATAATGTAAAAAGTCTCCGGGGTTACAGTTTCTTAACTGGGCTTTGGTAATATGGATTGAAACTATCGAATTGAAAATATTGGTTAATAATCAATATTTTTGGATATATCTCTTATAAAATAAAACTGTCACAAAAAAAGTAAAGTTGAAAACACCACAACCACAGCAAACTTGCAGACTAAGCGAATTTCCATTTGCCTGGTTGGATTTTCACTAAAATATTCCCTTAAAATTGCCAGACTTATTTTCTATCAAATAACAACTTAGTTTTGTTGCTATGAAGGGGAATTAAGAGGGTTTTTATTGAAATGTTACGAAATAAATAAATGATTCACATTTTTTTAGCTTAGGGTGAACTAAATAAATTTTCCAAATTTGAAATATACCATTACGGTTATTATTTACAATGACCAACTCATCTAAAACGTTATATAGGCGTTAGGACAGAATGGGAGAGTGACGTCATGGCTATATATTGTAGGAATGTGGAGAGTCTAATCTGGCCAGGCCAGTTGGTGTTCGTGGCGCATTCCCTGGAATAATTGGTGTAGGGGTTCAGGTGTGTTCACCTCTGGTCTGGGGTTTTGTGGATTTTAATACAAACAATGCCAGAGTGATGTCATTGTTCTATGCTCTAGGAATGTGGAGGGAATAATACTGCCAGGTCAGGTGTTGAAAAAGTACTTCTTGGAATATAAACGTGGAAAGAGAGATTGGGGGTGTGTCGACCAGTCGACCACTGGTTTTTGTTTTTAGCGAATTTCGCATATAGGGAATAAGGTATTACCGTAGTACTCGTGGTAAGACCTGGACCCGGGGCCGATTTGCATTTTCGCTTTGAGGTCCCCAGAGGCCAAAAAACCCCGTTCAAATTAATATATATATATGTCCGTTAGCGATAACTCCAGCAAAAATTGTCCGATTTTGATGAAATTTGGTACCGGTACATACGTGTAAACCTACATTTATTCGAACGAGTTCACGAACCAACATAATCGGACTATAGGAGCGGGGGTTTAAGGGACAAGAATTAATTTTTCCAAATAAAAAAACAAAATATTTAATAAGTTTCCTCAAAACCATTTTGTGGAGGTTAAAAAAGAAATAATTGTGTATATAGAAGCACAACAATATGCTAATGTATATGTATGTATGTATGGGTATATAATGTATGCCCAACAATATATAGTTAACTGACGATATATACTGTATGTTTAACGAGTCCTTGTTTGCTGCTACAGGAAGGTTAATAAATTGTGCTTTAGTAAAGTATTAATAGCTTAACGTTGCCAAGTTTGATAAAAGCATATCCATAAATATGCAAACTACAACAGTTTACTTATATTCTTCATAATAATAATTCATCGTGAGAATAACATGGAAATTTTTAGCTTAGATCTTTTGAATTTTCTCCATAACCAATGTAGTCCAGTCAATGAATGCTCAAAAGGGGGGTGTAGAGGACATGGAGAGGGGGAAATTTTTTTTCTGCGGGAATGTGTTCGGGGTAGTTAGAAGATAAAAATACCAAAAGTCCCCGCCCCTGGCCCTGCTGCTTCAGCGGGGGGAGGGGGGAAAGACCCCATTTTTTAGTTTTTTACTTCTACACTGAAAACCGTGCATCATACGGAAAAAATGTAAATTATAAAAAGAAAGATGATGAAATTCTCTACAAGAATGATCATATTCATTTCTTCCGTATATGCATTGGTTTAAAAGATATTCTCAAAATAATATAAAAATTCTTGAATAAATTGATTTTTCATGCGGTTTTTGTCAAATAAGTATATATAATCCATTAGCCTGTTGTTGTTTCACATCAATCAGGATAGAAAACCGGTTTTTAACACTAACCTATATAATATAATATATCAATCGTATATATTGTGTTAAAAATAGTTTATATAAATTTAAATAAGTTATGTATATTTGTCATGGAAACAAGTAATTTTGGCATAATTATTACACTAAAAATTAAAAAGATTATGTTTGTAGCTATATTTGTCCAGGTTTATTTATAACAGTTACCGAAACCAAGACTTAATATTATTGTTCATGGTCTTGCTCACTTGGGACGAGAGGGTCCGACTTCTGTCCCAAAAACTGGTGCCATCTGGAACTGAGAACCACCATCTAGGACATCTCCATCACTCAATTCTTGTTGATTAGACCCAATATTGGCTATCGAAGTGAGAATTCGTTGTAGGCCTATATATTCTTCATCTTCCTCATTCATCAGAATGGGCATTTCATGTAAAAAGTTCCCATAGCAGTTCTGGCATAACGGAGAACAATTATTGGACATTTTCTTGCATGCACAAATTGCACATCTGGCACTGTTATAATCTTTAGTACATTTGCATAGTACTTGGTTAAGGGATTAACTGTTCCTGGTTACTATAATTTCGGTGTCTATGTTCAAATGAATATCTACTGACCAGTGGTGGTCCCTTAGGGGGGGGAGGTATATATCCTCTTATTAGCTTTATCTCTTTATTAGCTAACATAAATACTAAAAATATTAGCTTGAAGATATTTTAGAGCTCAAATGCATATCAAAATACGTTATTGTGCTTTAAATTCCACATTTTTTCCGGGGGGGAGGGGGGGTTAACCACCGGAGGCCCGCCACCTGGGACCGCCACTGCTACTGATTTTTTCAATCTGTAGTGTCTTTCTTGGTCTGCCATCGTCGTGCTGTTTTCTGAATTGCTATATCCGTCAAAAACAACAATGCATTACCTTACAAGGTAATAGGTATCCACGTACCTCACGTATCCATCACATATCACAGACACTGAAGATCCCATTTGCCATATAACCTTATGCGTGAGAAATACCCCATCGATAACCAAATAAAAAGTCGTTAAAACTGTTGTTGGTTGGTTCCAAAGAACTTGAACGGTGCAGGCATTTTTGGTCTTTACTCATACCACTCTCATTAAATAAAGGGAAATGGAGCAAGTTCAAATCGTTAACAATCCTTTAAATCTTGATAAATTTTTTAACTTATACAAATCCTTTGAAACAGAATTAAAGGTTTTGCTGCAACGTTTTAATCATTGATATCGATGGTTGAACTCACAGAGGACAAAGGGAGAGCCATATTTTCCCGTGACAGCTTGTTGTCTGCAAATGATTACAATTTGATTAATTACTCGCAGACTACGTTATACAGCATCGTAACAGTTAACGGATTCATCTCCTACAACCCTAGATGCTATTGACATGATGTCTTGAGTTTCAGGGAAGAGTGGGCGATTTTCAAAAATTGCTGTCAGTTTAGAAATATTTGACATTTTATCATTTGTATCATTTAATCAAGGACAACTCTGTTTGGAAAACCAACTACCGTCAGAAATGTGGGATTGGGAGCGCAAAAAAGGTAATCTATTCCCAGTTTTAACCAATGAACCACCTAACCCACGAGAAATATTGGGCTTGTTTTTTGCAAATATTCTTAAGATTGTAGCACTGAAAGATGTACATGCAATGAAATGTCCATTAAATGTTCCTCGCTGGCCGTTATGTCAGAACTGCTAAGGGGGCCGTTTAAATAGAATGCCAATTCTGATAAATGAGGATGATGAAGAATATATACACTGCACTCTCACATCGATAGCAGATATTGAGTCTAATGAACTAGAATTGGATTATGGAGAGACCATGAACAATAGTAGGCCTATTAAGTCATGGTTTCTGTAGGCTACTTATAATCAGTGTGCGTCTGTGCGTATCGGCTGCAAATCTTACTTAAACGCTTTTCACATCGTAAAAATTGCAGAATTGCTGTTTCATTGTAAAATTATCGGATTCAAAATGCATATCGTATAGGCCTATGATGGAATAAAAAATATTTGGTCACACAACATTTGTTTACAAGATGATTTTTCACATTAAAACTGCAAGGTACTTTGTCTTTATACGTGTAGCCTAAACTAGCTGATCTGAATTGTACACGGTTTTAACTGACTATTGAATTCCCGTACGTAGGACGGGTTAACACCTCGTCTTTTTAAATTTTAGTGTAATAATTATGCCAAAATTACTTGTTTCCATGACAAATATACATAACTTATTTAAATTTATATAAACTATTTTTAACACAATATATACGATTGATATATCATATTATATAGGTTAGTGTTAAAAAACCTGTTTTCTATCCTGATTGATGTGAAACAACAACAGGCTAATGGATTATATATACTTATTTGACAAAAAACGCATGAAAAATCAATTTATTTAAGAATTTTTATATTATTTTGAGAATATCTTTTAAACCAATGCATATACGGAAGAAATGAATATGACCATTCTTGTAGAGAATTTCATCATCTTTCTTTTTATAATTTACATTTTTTCCGTATGATGCACGGTTTTCAGTGTAGAAGTAAAAAACTAAAAAATGGGGTCTTTCCCCCCCTCCCCCCGCTGAAGCAGCAGGGCCAGGGGCGGGGACTTTTGGTATTTTTATCTTCTAACTACCCCGAACACATTCCCGCAGAAAAAAAATTCCCCCTCTCCATGTCCTCTACAATCCCTTTATTGACTGGACTAATGACCATTGACCGTACAACAAGATTTCAGTATACTTAATTATTTGTTTTCGAGCTCTAACAATTAGGTAAAAAAATTGGAAATTCTATAGTTTAAGGGTCTAAAATAAGAAATTTGCCGAATTTGATCAAGATATATATGTCCATTTACAAACAAACTACAACGGTTTACTTATTGTCCATAAGAACAACATACGAGTTTTAAATTTACATTTTTGTTAATTTTCTCAGTAATCAATAACCGTACAAAAACATTTCAATGTAATTTTTTAAGCTCTTTAAAACGGTTTAGAGAGAAATTGGCAAGTGTTATGTTTTGAAGATCAATAATGAAAAGAAACTATTTTTACATGCTAGTAGTTACATATGGAGCGTTTTGGACTTAATAGACCTCACACGTTGCATACAGCAAGCATTCACCATACGAGAAATACCATAAAAGCAATATAATCCAGCTGTTGGCTCAGATCCAGACGGCAATCAGCTGACATCGATGTCAGCTGATTTTTGAATTGTTGACGCGTTTATGATTCAGTGAGCTTCAATATATTGAGCGGCGTTTTAATTACATTTGACTATTTTTATTCTGACATTTTGTTAGGCCAATACGTGATTAGAATATTTCAATTCTTTTTAAAAGGTTAAATATGAGCGTTGTCATTTTTCTTGGAGATAATTTCTTGTTTTATGGCTCACTGTGTTTTAAATTTTGTTTGCCGTACGAATAAATAAATATGTGGAGTTAATATTCAGAAAATACTAGAAAACACCCGGATTTTCGAATCTCAACTACAAAAATACTCGAACTATTATGCGAATACTGTAATGTATATTGTTATCTCTGATTTGCCTTAACATGATTCATTACCACATATGAGGGAGCCTTTGTAGTATTATTTAAGGCAATGAATTTAGCCTAAGACGTAATTAAGAAAAATAAAATCAGTTTTATATTTCATAGTTTTGTAACTTTTTAAAAGTAAAATTAATAATGTTTTTCCGACAGTCACCCAACAAAGTTGGCTTCCTTGCACTGATTATAGTACAGAAAGCTGCTAATTGCTGTATTTACTTACTTTGTCGCACCGTTTATACTTTGGCGCACATCGGGATTCCAACCAAAAAACAAAACAGTGTGGTTTCATTATGCACGTAGTCCGTGTACGCTTGGAAATAGGTTGGCAACACCTAAAGATAATAATACTATGATCAGCTGATTGACTAATATAACTACGATTTAACCTGTCATTTCAGGTTAATATTCTATTTTCGTTCAATGCTTGGTTTGAACATAACCTAAAGTTTAGTATTAAAAAAGATTAATTGTTAATTGTTGTTGGTGCGTAAATAAGAGAGTTACAAAATGGTCAGAAAATGTTTTATTGACATATTTTGCAGAACAATTTACTTGTTTATTCTGTTTATACTGATTATTACTACTGTACTGCAATCATCTGGTGCAGTATTTCCCATTCCGTTCAACGCTTGGGTTTAACCTAACAACCTAACCTAAAAACGTGTTGTATAGTGTTTTAAAGACTAACTATTTATATGCTTTACTGTGACTGTAGGGAAAATATAATGTGTAACACGAGCACAAATAGCCTTTGCTGACTAGTTACACGAATAAAAATATTCTCTTCTACTACACAAAGATAACCACTTCTATGCAGTGAGTTTGTAAAAAATTCAACTAATACAACATATTTTTGCAGGGTAATGGTTGCAGTCGTACCAAAGGTAAGTCTTCTGTTTGAATCTTTCAGGAATCGGGTTTTTAAATTATGCATGGAAGTTTAGTTAACTGTGGCTATAAATAAATGTATATGTGATTGTTAGCGTATAGGATGTTTCGACCCAGTTTAAAATTAGTTATCAATTAGCACCAGAAGGTTTAAAATTGAACACATTTGTGATTTTCGAGTTGATCTGAATTAAAAGTACAGTTTTTTGAGGGCAGTACATTAAATTAAGCATTGATAAGGATATTTTTTACACGGAATTGATACTTTCTTTGGGGACATTAGAATATTTTAATAATACTGTTCGCCTCTCGATGATTTGATTGTTGCATGTGAAGAGTAGAAGGCAAACGCAATCAAATGTGAGGTGATCAAATGATTCATCAAAACAACTTACTTGTTTTCGCACATAGTTGGTCAAATCTTCATGTTTGTCAAATCTAGACTAGGCCCTAACATAAAATTCAACGGGTTTTCCTATGAGCCTTTTTCAGGTATCGTGTACATATATTTTTGGTGATACCGAAGCATTTTCAAATTTGTGTTCACATTTTTAACATTCCTACTTTTCATCAATGATGTAACATGATGTAACAACGCACCTCCGTAGAGTAGTAGACTTTTCACCATAGTTTTTTTCAGCCAATTTTACATAAGAATCCATTGATAGAAATTATATTACAATTACTTCTAGGTTAACCAACAATTTTACTAGTCTTAGTGTACGCAACTCGCGTAAAAAGAGTAAACGACACTATCTTGACGCATTCCTTGCATAAACTACTACATTACATTGTATACGAAAAGTAAAAAAAAAATTGTCTAATAACAC